AAACTGCAAGGGCTTGTCCTGGCATTCACTAGGAGTCAAGAATGATTTGAAGCCCCACTCCCACCCCCCAAAATCAAGTATGTAAGTTTCACTGAATCAAGTGAATAAAGTGTTGCATATCACTGGCCAGCCTTATAATGGCGTACTATATATTAGGGGTTTATACATCACAGATCAAATTTAGTTGCTTAAATCTGATTCTATGGTTTCTTGGGGAAAACCAGGATCCCTATGCATTAAGGCCAACAGTTTTATGTATATGAGCACTATGTGAAAGCAAATGTGCTCTGCAAAAAGAAAATAAATGAATCACTACATTCAGCCAGATCTAATTCTTCCATAAAATGTTTGGAAGACAGATAGGGAATGAGTGTCCATCTTTTCCTAATCACAAAGAATGGTTTGTAAGCTATGTAGTGGTTACGGTACTAAACTAGGAGTGGGGAGACCCAGGCTTAGCCAGAGGCTTACTGGATCAGTGGGCCAGTCACATACACTCAGGCCAGCCTATCTCATAGGACTGTTGGGAAAAAAAGAACAACTACATTACCTTGTGCTCCTAAATAAAAGATGATATACATAGGGGGACCTTTGCTCATCTGAAATGTCATCTTACTCTGTCCAAAAACAACTTGCAGTCACACTATCTTTAAATCTAAAGAGTTGTATTCAGAAATTCTGCAAACTTTATTTCCACACAAGTTGGAATAATGCCTGCAAATAGATATATCCAAAATCTGTAGCGTATTATTTTAAAAAAGAAATCTGAATGTAATGGAACCTAGCTACAAAACCTATTGCAGCTTATTTTAGAAACAGGCTTCTGGTCCTCATATATTTTGTTCAATCTGTTTTTAAAACAAATTACAGCCATTTATGCTTTTCCACACCGATCAACATTAAAACTTGTTTTCTCCCAAATTCCTTTTGTTTAAATGCTTCTTTTACCCCAGCCATTACTAAAGTAAATAGATTTGGCATAACAGGTAACTTCATTATCAGGATATCTAAGCTTCTTTAACCAAGTGTCAAATTTTTACTGTACAATGAATTTATGCAAAGGCCTGTGGGCTATACTTTTAGGGTAAATCAGCACATGAGGTATACAAAAGTTGAGTTGCTTATATAAAATTATATAGCATGTTTATAGAACAAGCAAACTTTGTTCTGTAGACTATTTCACAGTTCAAACAGTATACCAGCTACAGCCTCTTCATTTTTTCTCACAAATGTATTGGTTAAATACTGTGCATTCGGAAAGTATTCAGACCCCCTTCACTTTTTTCAATTTTGTTACAGTGGGGCAAAAAACTATTTAGTCACCCATCAATTGTGCAAGTTCTCCGACTTAAAAAGATGAGAGAGGCCTGTAATTTTCATCATAGGTATACCTCAACTATTTTCATCATAGGTATACCTCAACTATTTTCATCATAGGTATACCTCAACTATTTTCATCATAGGTATACCTCAACTATTTTCATCATAGGTATACCTCAACTATTTTCATCATAGGTATACCTCAACTATTTTCATCATAGGTATACCTCAACTATTTTCATCATAGGTATACCTCAACTATTTTCATCATAGGTATACCTCAACTATTTTCATCATAGGTATACCTCAACTATTTTCATCATAGGTATACCTCAACTATTTTCATCATAGGTATACCTCAACTATTTTCATCATAGGTATACCTCAACTATTTTCATCATAGGTATACCTCAACTATTTTCATCATAGGTATACCTCAACTCAGGCCTCTCTCATCTTTTTAAGTGGGAGAACTTACACAATTGGTGGCTGACTAAATACTTTTTTGCCCCGCTGTATGTTGCAGCCTGATACTACAATTGTTCAAATTCATTTTTTTTCTCATTAATGTATACTGACATACCCCGTAACGACAAAGTGAAAACAATTTTAGAAATGTCTGTGAATTTATTAAAAAGAAAAAACTGAACTATCACATTGGTATAAGTATTCAGGCAACACTTGAAATTTAGCTCAGGTGCCTCCCATTTCTCTTGATAGTTGCTGAACTGTTTCTACATCTTGATTGGAGTCTGCCTGTGGTAAATTAAATTGATTGGACATGATTTGGAAAGGCACACGCCTCTCTATAGAAGGCCTCACAGCTGACAACACATACTGTACCAGAGCAAAAGCCATGAGGTCAAAGGAACTGCCTGCAGAGCTGAGACAGGATTATTGCAAGGCACAGATCTGGGGAAGACTACAAAAACATTTCTGCTGCACTGAAGGTTCCCAAGAACACAGTGGCCTCTGTAATTCTCAAATGGAAGAAGTTTGGCACAATCAGGACTCTTCCAAGAGCTGGTCGCCTGGCCAAACTGAGCAATCGGAGAAAAGCCTCAGTAAGAGAGGTGCCCAAGAACCCGATGGTCACTCTGACTGAGCTCCTGTGTGGAGATGAGACAAAGTTCCAGAAGGACAACCATCACTGCAGCCTTCGACCGATCTGGGCTTTATGGCAGAGTGGCTAGACAGAAGCCTCTCCTCAGTGCAAAACACATGAATGTCCACTTGGAGTTTGCAAAAAAGCACCTGAATGACTCTCAGACTGTGAGGAACAATTCTCTGGCCTGATGAAACCAAGATTGAACTGTTTGGCCTCAATTCTAAAT